ATGGGTTATTTGCGTAATCGTATTTTGTGAAACGAAAACAGCTAAGCATACTTACAGTATCAACAGGATTCTTGATTGTTACAAGAAACGGTGGGCAAGGATCGACGCAAACAATAGCAATATAACCTGGAAAGGCAGTGGAAATATTGTGATTTGTATAATGCTATATGGAAGGACATCGACTCAGATCATTACATACGAGTTTGAACAGAGAGGTAGAAATCATATGGTACTTACAGATATCAGCAAGTTTCTTTGCACTGCGGAACAACTGCAGAACAGTGAATATCAATTAACCAAACGAATGAGCTGCAAACAAAAAAGAGTGTCCATCAGATTATTGTGGAGCACCTGCCTTTTGTTACCGATAGTCATCTTGTTCACATAGGAAACCCTGTATTACTTTTCTCGTAGGCATGCTTGAAGACATAAATGAATGGAAGGTTTTGAAAAGTACTCCTCTGGAACCCGAAAAATTAGTTCGGTTTAGGAGATTTACTTCACCTCTCTCGTTAGAAGAAGAATTTATAGTTTTTTACTTTTACAAGAATGGTGGGCTGGGAAAGGTCGTCATTGTGTATCTGTAATTTTCAGGGCCGAGTCTTAAGACTTTAAAATGTTTTTGTTTTGTAGTAATCCTTAATGGCATATTAAATGTACGGTTTTTATGTTTCACATGGTACCATGACAGTCACTGGTGAAAGTCACTATTTAAGTTGGCCAAGACAAAGACATTTCGTTAATTTCGGTTCCAAATGGCACAAACACTGGACATACAACCCTTATTACCTTTTTCATCGTTATTAAATTTTTTTCCACAATAGACATTTTATTCTTTGCCGTAAACGTTCATGGGAGCCACACTTATCGACCTTCGCTTGTAAAGTTATGCTGGTGTAAATACGGAAGTAAAGGACAGAGAATGTATAATGTTTCCGTAAAACCTTATTTAGGACGCTGTGCACAAATAGCTGATGAAGTGCGACAGTCAAATTATTCACGATTTTTCGGCTTGCCATGATTGTTTTTCAGATTTTCTGTTCAATCGGTTGCTAGGGGAAACCAGCTGGCCATTGATAAAATTGCAATTTGCTTTGCAGAATTCTGAATGACAACTGGTTGGATGAATTCATGATTTTTGTGACCAATTGATTTTTTTTCAGAATTAGTCTTGGGCATAACGCTTCATGAATGCCACGATCATTTGCCCTCCCTTGTTAAACTCTGTTGGTGTTCCAGTTGTCATCGAACGAGTTGGAGAAACCACAACCTCACACCTTATCTAAAACGAATCGTTGAACTTCGTGGCCTATTTTTAGAAGGTTTTCTTTTCAGCAGTGAGATTCAGCATTAGGATACACATGTGTCACGTATACTGTCCTTCTCTGGTAAAATGGTGTTGGTGTTCTACCAGAAAAGGATGGAGCAAATGGTCCACCAAACGTGAATTCATTCAACGCTGTCATGCACTAGGAAGGCATCCCATTCTTGTCAATGTTTTAAGGCCTGTACGATAAATGAATATTTGAAAGGGCGTGACGTCAACAGGAGGTCACACACGTCCCGATTGTAACGCTAGGTATGACGTCTGAATAAAATCGGTTGAAACGTGAGTTTTCGTGTGTCTTACATGACGGGGGAATGTTGGGAGACTTTTCGTGATGGTTTTACATGTAGTACTAACCCCCATGAAATCCTGGACGCTGATTGGTCGAGAGTGAATTAATTCAGTCACGTGTTTGAAATACTCGATTCTGATTGGTCGTGCCACCCAGTAGCGACTATTACTACTTGCCCAGTTCGGCCCTGATCTGCATGGCAATAAAATGAAATAAAATTGATATCATAAGTTTATCTATTCAAATACTGTAAGAGTGATCATTTACCCTTCTGAGATAAAAAGGCTTCACGCCTGTACATTAGCATGAACACTGGATTCACCCTGTCTTGTTTTCTGTGGTTTACATACCATGGCAAATAATGCCTTAAAAACAGCAGACAACAAGGCAACATAGGGTACAGTCGAACCTCCCAGTACGGACACCTCTCTGTTACGGACAGTTTCCAATGTTCCGACAAAATTCTCATATATTTTCTTAATAAAAAAAATTTAAGTCTATAATACCGACTCTCTCTAATATGGAAAACTGACACTAAATCTCGACCCCAGAGAGTAAATTCATATAAACTTAACCTCGTTATTATAGACACTGCAGTGATCAGATGTAAGGCCGATTCCTGATCATGCGAAGTCTGGCTAATGAGCTATATAAGGTGATACAAAGCCCAGGCGCTTTTACCAAACAATGAGTCGCGAAAGGTGTACGGAAGAACATAACCAACTTTTTGAAGGCTTCAATAACTACAGAGAGTGTAAACATCTTTTCTATTACATTTTGTTCTCTGGTTACTGTTCACTGCACTTGCAATATAGCGAACGGACACATTCAGACTTGCGCTTTACGTTACAACTTTTTACATGCAGGATTGCGCTTTAGCTCGTTTTGTTTTAAAACAGTAATTTATCTGTAGCTGAGATGCACAATATTCTATGCTACTGAAAGACATTGTCTTTGTGCTGTGAATTGGTAACTTTAAATTCAGTTTAAAGATGAGTGTGAGCCTGCATGGTGTTAGCTACTGAACACTTAGAACTGTAAGTGGAGTCATAAAAGTGATGTCATCATAGTAACCTCTTTTACACGGACACCTCTCCAATACGGACACTTCACTGTGTCCCTTCGGTGTCTGTTACCATTAGAAAGGTTCCACTGTAGTACTAAAATATAATCTTTAGCCTTGGCTTCTGTCTAGAACAATGTACAATGGAAATGGGCTCCAGCTTACAACTAAAAAAGGAATGTACCTCATTTCCTGAACTAGAACCAAAGTTTGGAAAATCTTCCATAATCTTCCCCACTCGCACATTCTGAGTAAGAACTTCTTGCCTTCTTATAGGAAATGTTGAGGACATCAACTCTTTGAGAAGGCTGTAGTTCTTCTTTGACTTCCTCCACTCAGTAATTTGTTTCCGTTGTTCGTTGTAAGTATCATCTGTCACCCCCTCAGGAATGGCAGGGATAACAGATGATGGGTGGATTGCCTTTTTTCTCCCTGGTTTTCCTCTAGGGACTTCCTGTCCTTCCTGTATGAAAAGTTTCCTTATGTCCCTGTTTTTCTTGTTTAGGTTTTCAAACCTGTCCTTGATTTTTTTTGGGCCCAAAATGATTGCAACAAAATGATTGTAAGTTGTAATACGATAACTATTATTCATTCAAAGTATTTCTTCATTTCTGATTGGCTTAAAGTACACACATAATTCACCATAACCAGCTACTGTTGACCAAATTTGGAAGATTTTTGCGATTAATCAACCATCAAAAGTGCAGCACAGTTGCCGATTAATGGACCATTAACCAAAAAGACCTGGAGATGAGGTTGGGTTGTTTTGTTTGGTGTATTTTCCAGCAAAAATATCACACCTCGCGAACACATTTTAATGACGTGGATGAGCGAAAAATACCAAAGTTTGGGTCGATGAAGTATGAGGTACCAGCATCAAACTACATTTAAAGGCATCTCATTTTGCTATGTCAATTATCTATTGGCTGGTACATCGTTCAAATAACGCTCACATACCGCTTTTGTTTGGGCTCATTCAGCCATCACTTCGTTTGCAAGTAAAATGAGGTCCACAATATCGATCTAAATGGAGGACAAAAGGATATCAGAGCTAAAAAAATGAATTACACAAGAACAACAAAACAAAGATTCAGAGAAAGACAAAAACTAACCTTGAAATAGTTTGCTTTCTGTTATTTTGGGCGACTGAAAAATGCTCGTTCTCTCTGCACGCGAAAGATGCCATGCAAATCGATGGCAATTTTAGCGCAAAGCATCATGGGGTACTTGATTTATCCTTCTTTATCTCAGCTTTAGTAAGGTACAATGAATGAACTGTAATACTGCCGCAGATGTCTCATGTCAGCTCCTTTCTCGGGGCACCTACCAATTTCCTTTCTGCAAGTGCCTTAGTGACTGCGGGTAAAAGTAACATGATTGTATTTTGTCTATGTCCCACTAATCAACCTAAGAGGATCTACAGGTAATCCATGTCAAGTTGGATTTCCTGGGGTGGAAAAAACCATTTTCATTTACTTCAATAAGGAAAAGAAAATATCTTAAGGGAATATGACAATAATTTACAAACACTGAATAGTTGCAAAACAAGAGAGCCCCTTATTCCCGTGGAAGGGAAATCCCTGAGAGGGTGGCTAAGATACCCAGCGATGATATTGTCCCATATTTACACTGTATGATAGCCGTACATTATTCTCCTTGTGCAGGGCATCATTGCCAACAGTCACTAACGGTCAGAAATGGTGCAAAAGTTGCATTTTACCGTAATTATTATGTGATTTTAACTACAGGGAATCATGGAAAATGCAGATTTTGCATAATTATAAAGAAAAGTTCCTGGCCTTTTTGTTTCATTCAAAGGAGAATCTAAATTATAATAAAAACCGTTTGAAAACAGTCATGATTGTTTCTCAAACAACTCCTCTCCTGTGTAACATACAGTCCAAATGAGTAGAAATGCCCAGTAGACTTTCACGTTTGGTTTCATTACACATTTACATATACTTTTACCATTTAGGTCTGTCACTCAACACTGAGTATTTTAGACCGCTATAAAAAGAAGAAAATACACAATACGTGACTTACACATGTGGTTGATTCTGTTTAATCAAAAGATATTATTTCTGAATGCAATATGCACGTGATATTATCTATTTTTGACAGAGCAAGGGTAATATTGCAAGTTTGGGTGTGCATGAAATTCAAAAGCATATAGCATCATCTGGATTTTAAGGAGCTGTTGATGTGCAAGTATGAGTTAATTTATCTTTATTGTTCCTTTCCTACATGTATCTATTTTTTGTTTGAAGTTAAAATAAAAATAATTATTGTTTAGGAAATTTAAAATCCTGGGGTGAAAGTTAATGCCCCTGCTTCCTTCCCTTGCTGGACTTTGATTTTCCCGCGTCTTGAAGATGATCCTTGTCAACCGAGTCAACATTGTCTTCAACATCATCGTCCCATTTACTGTTTGCAAACGATGGTGGTGAGCGGTTTGAGTTTGTATTATCTTTGTCTTCAACAATATGATCCATATCTGAAAGCATCACAGGAAAGCTCTTTCGAAAAGCCAGCATATTAAATCCTTGTTGAAATCAATTGATGTTCATGCATCAAATGAAAAAAAAAAACCGGTTTTAGACAACTTATAAATGTATTCATAATTTATGAATCAAGTTTGGCACGGCGGTAGCACGACTTGGTTTCAAATGGCATGCTTCTTCACTTCCTTGGTTGCTGTCTCTGGTCGTTGCGCTAATTCGTCCTTCTTTGTTTCGTTTGTTGCTGTCTTTGGTCACGGTGCTAATTCGCCTTTTTTTGTTTTGTTCATTGCTGTCTCTGGTAGCTGTGTTCCTTCGTCCTTCTTTCTTTTGATCGCTGGTTCTTCTGGTTCCTTTTCTGATCCATTCCTTCACTTTTTCCTCTTCTTCTTTTCCTCTTTTCTTAGTTTCTTGTAATAAACATTTCACTCGTTGTTTAACTTTTGCTTGAGTGAACGTTTTCGCTTTTCATTACTGACAGATCCATTGCTGATGGACTCCAAAGATCAAAGGAGAAAAAACGCTGACGGCAAAACAAAGGCATTTATTCAGTTAATGTGTGATAAATAGTTGATTGTTTGTAACGAGAGGAGGGCAAAACCTGTAATGTGATTTAATAGAAAGACAACAGGAAAGCAACAATCAAGACATGAATAATCTCCTTCCACACCAACACCCACTCATAAGAAGCCTGATGAAATGACATTCTCCTCCACATGAGGAGAGAGAAAATGGACTTCTTCAATCGCTACAGATGAACAATTTTGAAGATTAGGATACTCAACAGATGTATTACTGTAACCGCTCATGGTGGAGGACAGCTCTAGAGAAACACTGCTTTCCTCTAAATCCAGACTAAGTGACGACTTCTCCAATGCACTCTTGATATTATCAATTTCTTCCTCATTGTCAGCTCCAGTCCTGTGATCCAACGTATTTTTCACAGATTGCACTGGCATTGGATCTTCATCATACTGCCAAGCTGGTCCTCTGTGGAGACACAGCTATTTATGGCTAAGCTGGGAAAACATGGTGTGAAGCCAAGATGAGTAATGCTCCTCCATACCAGGTTTCTGCGTTTTGCTGCTAGCAAAGAATCGAATGTTATAATCGATTAAGTCAAAAGGCATTATGTCCAAGGGCAATCGTGTAGTTTAACTATTAAAGCATCTACTTATGTCAAGGCACCCAAACTTGCATATAGAAAATCATTGTTCACGAATTTAAAAAAAATCAATTCCATGGTCTTGCAAAACCGACAATTTAAAGATGTTCCAATAATTGAGTCCTGAGCCTTGATTAAACTGCCTCACCACCTCACAAACACACTGCTCTGCACGGTTACGCGGTGAACAACTGAAAATAGGTGACAGGCAGGTATCGTCCACTAGCACAGTTTTATGTGGGGTGCTTCTGGCCCTTTTGTCAAAAACGCTACTTTTGTCAAATACAACAGAGCTCTTAACATAGCCAATTTGTAGTGCCTCCTCGGCCTCTGAAACTCCTTGGCCAAGAACTTTGCAATCCTGGTGCGACAGGATTAACCTTTTGAGTCAGAAAAGGAAAAAAGGAGCAATTTTTACAAGATATCTTTTTCTTTTTTTTTTAAAGTAATATTGATTTTGAAACTAAAAAGGTTATAGGCTAAATGAAAAAAGATATGGTGTTGAGGAAGCGATATCATCAAATTGCGGATCCCATGCAGTATTACAAACAGCTGTTGCTTTTTAGAATGGGAAGAGGACAGAGAGGAGGAAAAGTTTCTCTTGGAAAATTGAAATGACTTGTTGCTGAAAACTTGGGACCCTCCGCCGCACTGCTGGTGAAAAAAGGAATAGATTACGGTTTATCTGAAGCATTGGCTTTTGGTAAAAAGAAATTACCAAAACATGCAGGTAAAAGCGCCAGGTTGAAAAGCATGTACAAAACACGGGTGCAAGCGATAAAGTGGCCAATTTGATAGCCAAGAAAATGCAGCGTGGGGGAAAGATGGATTTCAAATGATTAGCCAAACAGTTGGCACCCACAGTGGCTCCTATTGCAGGTAAAGCCATCAATGCTGCTCTATCGAAAGCTTTTTTGTACGGAAGAAAACGTATTCGTAAGAAACATTCTCAAAAACTAGACTTGGTGAAACAACTCTTCAACAAGGCTAATTTGGGATGTCGAGTTTTTTCCTTGCTGCAGAAAAAGGTGTCAGGTGGTTGCAGAAAAAGAAGACAAAGAACTCAGTGGGGACAAGGTGCTGGGATGGCCATGGTTGCTTCTGCCAATTTACCTAGTTTATTAGATAAACTTTTTGATCGACTTTTTTCATTTTGTGATTATTCTTTTTAAGAAACAATGTGTCAAAACGTTTTAAACAAAGTGTTGAAATAATGAAAATGTGTCATTTTCTTGTTGTATTTCGTGATGGGGAGAAGTAAAAGAAAACTTGATATTAAGACAGATTTGGCAGTGTTTAAAGCTGTAAAGAAACAATTTGGTGGGATAAAAAAGAATTCTTCTTTTCAAGTTGCGCTTGCGCAAAAGAAATATCGCCCGAGATTCCTTGCTCGGTCGTGTTTTGATCAGAGACGCCTTGCAATTTTGACCAAACCGCTCGAGGAAAGGTAAAAATGACGAGGGAAAAACTTAACTCTAAAGTTAGAAAACTACACAGATAGAAAGTAATAATATTATAGTTTAATATTCCAGCGGTACATTGAGTGTTTTTTTAGCAGAGAATCGGCACGATGAAAAAATATCCGAAAATCGCACTCGATGTGAGTGGAGCGCGGAAAGGGGCGTGGTCGCAAAATTAATTTAAGACTATTTGTACCCCATGAGTTTCATATGGGTTAAATACAATGGCACAATGTATTTGTTCACTGTTTCAGGTTTGAAGCTAAACATCCTCAAAACTGAAATTTTCCAGTATTTCTAAAACAGCATTTGGTATGTCATTGTCTAACAAAATGTGAAGAAGTACCACTTTCTTCTTGAAGTTCTGAGGGCATTTGTGTGCTGTCAAGATTGTCACAAATGAGATCCATAAAGTCATCATCACCTACGACATCATTCCAATCATGTAGTGCTAAGTCTAGCTCATCTTCGATATCAGCATCTTCGCAACATTCTGTTGAGTTTTCAAGAGTGGGACTTAAAATGTCACCAAATACTTAATCAGTAAGAGTTGGAATATTCACAGCATGTTTAAGGTATCAGCCACCCTTCAGGACCGTCCGCGCGCGGATCGCTGTAGCGTTAGTTGTTTTTATAAAAACCCCTATAAACCATATATTTTTTAAAAGCTTAATAATTCCAGATTATGGATTTGGACTAACAAAAACGATTTACTTAAATGTGTTCCGAAATTGGAACGCTTTGTGTAAAAGTACATGTCTCTATAAATCATGTTCCACTCCCGCCGGAGATAAACGGAAGAAAACAATTAACACCGCATTCGCTTCTCAACACGTTCCACTAAAAAACCGTGTCTCAGATTTTTGACAAGTGCGTTTGTTTTTCTTTTATTAGCAAATGAAGTTGGGGAAGGCAATAAGTCAACACTCCCTGTGGAAAAAAAAAAAAGCTAGCTTTAAAATGAAAAGGAGTATTAAAATTCGCAGACACGGTTTTGTAGAAGAGGTATATGGCATCACTCTGGCCAAATTTTAGCCAAATTGATTGAAAGGCTGCCGACTTGGACTTCAAAACGTACGAGTCGATCGGCAAAATTTGCGTTCGGAGATAAAATAGAAAATACATTTTTGGCGGCATCCTACCTGGAATGAGATTATAACACCTAACTGTTTATTCTGATCGATATCAGAGAGGGATCAATTTTCTCTAACAATAGGACTTTGACAGGTAACATGTAACAGGAACAAACTTTTTATTGCTATTAACATCTTCAAGTGAACAGTTTAATTCTCTGTTGGAAAACTTCCACTCTTTTACACCACGAGAAGCACGGTTTAATTCTTTCTCGAGCAAAAGTTTTGCCTCTCCTTCGATCTTTTTTGTATGATCCGCCCAGGCGTTTTTGTTGATCGGCGCCAGGCCAAGGAAACTAAAAAACTTTGAAGCCGCCGAATGTCCACCACCGATTGCTCGAAGGCCAAAAACTGAGGCCCGGTATATTTCAAACGCTCTGCTCTTCTCGGAAGAATTAAAAACAGAATTTGTCTTGTGCGACGGACAGCTTTCATTCTCGCACTGGATTCTCCAGGTAGAACCAAGTCCATGCTTAGTCGCTACATTTTCCATGACTTGGACTCTTCCCTGGAAAAATCGACAAGATAGAGACTCGTCCAGTTTCTCAAGCAGCTTTTAAGCTCGTCACGATAGCTCGACCGCTTATTGTTTTCCACGTTCCATCAGCAGATGGGGTCGATGAGCTTAATTGGCTTTCTTCATCTGGCTCTTCAAGCTGGATTTTGGAGCAGCTTGCACTCTCATCAACTGCAGCGTTTTCGCTTTTCTGAATATCCAACTCCTCGAGTCACTTCTCTTGCTGATAAAATGAACCTTTGTCGCTCTCTGCCAATTTTGCGGCCCATTCTTTGTCAAACTCGCTCTTCGATTTCTTTTTCGCTCTCGGGTTTCGATGACGAAAACGGACGCGACCTTTTCTTTTTTTCTTTTTGGCGGCATTTTCACCGAAGCAAACGCTAAATATCCACGGAGAATACTAAAGGCTATAAACAACGCGAAGACAATTCGCACGTGTTGTGTCGAAGCACGCACTCGGTATCACGTTACTAGCTCACAGGCAAGTTAATTGATATATGGACACGAGTATGACAGATCTTGTCAACTATCATATTAAGATAGTT